TTCTAAAGCCACCCTCACACCCTCACTGAAAAATTCATTCTTCAAGGTCCTGAGATAAAGGTTTTGGTAGTTGTTGACTGTCCAGAACTCTAGCACCCCAAAAGTTATGCTGACTTAAGGTAAGTGTTAGACCAAACTGGGCCCCAAGATGGTGCCACTACTGACCAGAAACATAGCTGTAGACACTCAGGTCTGCTGGTGGAAGGACAGAATGAGTGAAGGCAAAGGACTCAACCCCTGATGGACAAGAGGAGGTTAATTCTTTAGCAGTGATTTTTTTATACTCTCAAAACTACAGTTACAAGCTTGGTGTTTGTGCCAGAATATATGAAAGAATTAGTTTCACAAAGAACAAAGCACATTCTACAGGTTTACATTTAATCAGTAGGCTACAAAGTATATTAGTTTCTTACATAATCCATAGATTTTAACAATTTTCAGGAAGGCTAGTCAGCTTGTGATTTTGTTTAACATTAAACAATCATCCTATGTTTTGCAGTACCATGACTTAGAGTAAGGATGTTTTTCTAGCCCAACATTCTTGTTTTCAAGAAATGTCCGGACCTCGTCCCTGACTGTTCTTAACCTCTTCCTTGCTGTTCTCCTTCGATGGTGACCACAACCTCACTAGCACTATTCCAGGAAACAGAAACTAAACCACCCTAGTTTCTCAGTAACTACCTGACTTGTTTTTAACAACATACCCTGATCATAACAATTTTCCATTGCAGCCAACCAAAAAGCTGAAAAACGCCCAACTGAAACTGCACTGTGATGGTTTGAATGAGAATGTCCTCCATAGGCTCCAAGTATTCAGACATTTGTGCCCACTTGGCGGACTGTTTTGGAAGGTCTTAGAAGGTGTGGCCATGCTGGAGGAAGCACATCACTGGGGGTGGGCTTAGAGAGTTCTTAAGCCTTGCCGGATCTCCAGTTGCTCTCTCTTGCTACCTGTGCCTGCTTGAAGATGTAGAGCTTAACTTCTGCCCCTCCTCCAGCCACCTCTGCCGCCATGCCTCCCAGCCATGATGAACTCTTACCCCTTTGGAACCATGAGCTAAATAAACTCTTCTTTCTATAGAAGGAAGTTGCTTTGGTCAGTGTTTCTATCACAGCAACAGAAAAGTAACTAATACACGTCCCTTACCACAGCACCTGCTACTGATTTACCCCCACCACCCCCTACCTACAAAAGAAAGGAATTCTATAAAGCCCGGCCTGCTGTAATGAGAAATCACTGGCTTTCTCTTTCCCATGGGAACAGGCCAGTCCAGCAGCGTGAACCTTCTGATAAACTTCTGTTCTCATCTCACAACAGTCTCTAGTAGTCCTGGTCCTTCCAGTAAGAAAATCTATGTCACTTTCAAGGACCCCTGATTATCCCCATGTCATAACTACCTCAGTGGTTACAAACAATATTTGCTAAGTTAGCATTTACATTAAAGCCAGCTCTCTGGCACCCTCATAACGTTTCATCTGTTCAGCACACAAAAGGTTAATAATTTTAGGATTTCTGAGTGAGTTTTATGTAGATCCTACAGGAATAAAGCTTATGGGCTATATATTTATTGGCACTTAAACAAAATGTCTGGTTAAGGTTAAAAACTTCCATTATGCGGCTGGAGAGATGGCTCTCTGGTTAAGAGCACATGCTCTTCTTGCAGAGGACCTGAGCTCCATTCCAATCACCCACCTCAGGCAGTTCATAATCACCTATAAACTTCAGCTCCAGGGGGACCTAATGCCTCTGGCCTCCACGGGCACTAGTACTCGTGTGCACAAACCCCCACAGAGACATACACACAGAAAATTACAAACATATCTCTGAAAAAATTTCCCCTATAATAAACCCTTACCTTACTTGAGCTGTTATTTAAGTTCTTTAAAATAAGAACTCCTGCCTCATTTCTTTATTCAGCCATTAAAATTCCCTTTTTGTTGCTATCACACATTGTCGGGCATAAAACAAAAGAATTTAATATTTTTTGCTGCAATTCGTTCCCCAGAATGTTGTATCTGTTTTGGGTTTGTACTCTCTAGTTGTCCAGCCCATGCCAGTCATTTACATCTCTCAATCAATTTCCTCCATTTTCAAATATTTTGATGTTTATGAGTGAGCATGTGTAAATTGCAGGAGAGCCATAAGTTTACTTAAATTCCTCAAGGTGGCCAAATGGTCCAAACTGGCAGCTTGGCCTTTGCTCTAGCCTTGGCAACTAGTCACTTCCCTGGCTGACAGGGCCTGTTCACAGAGCCAACCAAACTCCTTTGGGGCCCTAAGATAACTCGCCTGCTCCTCTGAGAAAATAACCTTAGGGAGAAGACCCTCAGTTACCGTAAGGACACTGCCACCTGGCACCAAGCAAGTTCCTACAGCTGTGTTCAGCAGATTTCCTAGTTAAGTCCAGATTGCACTGCCTTTCTTTGCTGCCGCCTGTTTCCGCAGAGAGCGAAAGCCTCTGCTGTGCTCTCCTGAATTAAGGAACATATTCTTTGCCTGTTGCAGGTCTGGCTCTGGTTCTTATTTCTTAGCGTTAAACTCCTTCCTTTTTCTGTTTTCCTAAATCTAACAGTCACCACAAGCATGGTCCTTATTCAACAGCAGCAAATGAAATTCTCACTTTACAAAATACTTTTATTTTTATTTTTTTATTTTATGTGTATGAGTGTTACGCCTGCGTGTAAGTGCACCCGTGTCCTGCAGTCCCCTCAGGGGCCAGAAGAGGGCAGAAGATCCCCTGGAATTGGAGCTATGGACAATTGTTAGGTGCCATGTAGGTGCTGGGAATCGAACCTGGGTCCTCTGCAAGAGCAGCCAGTGCTTTTAACTGCTGAGCCACCTCTGCAGCTCCTTTTATGTTTTTTAATTTATGTGTCATTAGTGTGCATGTGTATGTGTGCGTCCATATGTGTGTGATGGATGTGTGTGGGTGTACATGCCATAGAGGCAATTGAACAACTTGGTGCAGTTTTCTCCACCCACCTTCAGGTGGGTTCTGGAGATCTAACTAAGGCTGGTGCAGCTGAGCCTTCTCACCCATCCCATTAAAATATGTTTTTTTGTTTTTTGGGTTTTTTTTTATCTTTTACCCCCAGCTGTCCTGGAACTCACTATGTAGACCAGGCTGGCCTTGAACTCACAGATCCACCTGCCTCTGCCTCCCAAGTGCAGGGATTAAAGTCGTATGCCACTGTGCTATTATTATCTAGAAAAAAAAGTCAGATTACCTCTAGTACAGACAGCAGTGGAGCGCTCTGGTTTTTACTATAAAGTTTTCTACTAGATTTAATGTATGGTAGTCAAGTCGCTCCCCTCTCTCCACCCCTCCTGGCTTTCTCTTCATTCCATTTTTTTGTTTTATAGAAGCAGCAGAAAGGAAAGTGCACCTGCCTGGTTGGTGCTTGACCTTGGCCTTTGATAGTCATGAGCTCCTAGCAACCCAGTTCCATCCCCTGCTGCCTTTAGAGCTGTGTCCCACCATTGAGGATTCAGGCTGTGGCTGGAACTTCAGACTGTAGGGCACCAGGGTTTTCCTCTGAAGCAGAACCCTTTATCTAACTTGTTTGCCAGGACTTCTCACAGATGTTCCTGACTGCTGCCCAGGCAGTCAGATTATTAGGGAGGGATCTCTGAAGCCGACTGCCTGCCGAGCCCAAGTGTATGCCTCACAAAAGTCAATACTTAAAGCTTTTCCTTTGCCCTGAGTGTGTTTAAAAGGGCTTTCTAGTATGTATTCCTTTTATGAGAGGTGAGTACCGGTGAGGAACATGGCTTTTATCATTTGTCTGTGTAGAATGAAAACCAAGAAACAGTCACTCTGTTTCAGTCTTCATATCTTTTCCTTAGATGGAAGTATTTATTTAAAATCTTGTAAATGCAATGACAAAAAACATATAAATAAAACTGGGGCATATTAGTGCAAAGTCAGATACACTTGATACATGTCAGTACTCACACAGTACAAGAGAAAATGTGAATCAAAATATAGTCATGTACTTTGTAATGACATGCTGAGTGACTCATCTGTGTCATGAACCACACTAAGGCCAGGTGAAGACTGGGGGTGGGATGGGGTTCACAGGAACTGTCTTTTCTGCTCAGAGTTTATGTTAACCTAATGCTGCTGTAAACAGCCTCCTATGTTTCAAATAATGTACGTTTTTTCTATCTGTGCTCACAGCCATTGGTGTATATATTCATTGTATATGCGTTGTTTTCCTTTTGAGACAGGGTCTCCCTGTAGCCCCTTTATGCAATTTTATTGCATTGTGGTCTGCAAAATACATGGAATTATTTCAATTATGATTTGTGTTTGTTGAGATTTGTTCTGTACCCCAGTATGTGGTCTATTTTAGAAAAACTTCCATGGGCTGCTGAGCAGAATGTGTATTCTCTGTTGCTAGGGCGGAGGGGGCAGGTCATCCCCAGCTGGTGACACGCCCGGCCCGGGAGGCGATCCAATTGGCCTCCGAGAAAGGTCGCGGAAGCAGAGCCTTCAAGGCGCTCCGCTGGGTGGGGAAGGGGCGGCCCGCCGGTGCCCAGGCTGAGGCAGCTCCAGCCGGCCCAGGGTTCCGGAACCGACAGGCCGCGGAGCTGGGGGTGTGGGTGGGGGCATCGCTGCCCGGGTGCTCGGATTTCAGGTCCCGGTTCCCGCCTGGTCGGAGGTCTCAGGTCCGGGTCACGCGGGATCCGAGGTGTGAAGCCCCGCAGAACTCCGCCCGCCATCCCGGCGCTGAGCGGAGGACGCGGAGCGGCCGCAGCCACCCGGCGCCTCGGCATCGCGCTCCAGGCCGAGGGCCCCAGGCTGCACCCGAGACGCGGCCCGAAGACACCGCCCACTGCGTCACGGACGCTGGTGACGGGGATGATCTGTCCCGGAAGCCCCGCCCCTCTCCCCCTCACAGAGCCCCGCCCTCTCCCTCCAGAGGCCCCTCCCGAGGCCCCGCCCTCCTCCCACGGCCCCTCACGAGGCCCCGCCCTGCTTCACTACCGCGGATTTCGAAACCAGACGCGAGGATCCCAGGAGCGCCGCCTGCGCATGCGCAGTGCACCGCCTTCCTGCCGCCCACTGGGTCGCCGCGCGTCATGGAGGTTAAGGGAGCCGCCTTCCTGAAAGGTGAGGGGAGACACTCCTCACCCGTGTCCTCACCCCTCACCCGTGTCCCCACCCGTGTCCTCACCCGCGTCACCACCCGCGTCCCCACCCACGTCCCCACCCGTGTCCCCACCCGCGTCCCCACCCGCGTCCTCACCCGCGTCCCCACCCGCGTCCTCACACGCGTCCCCACCCGAGTCCCCACCCGCGTCCCCACCCGTGTCCTCACACGCGTCCCCACCCGCGTCCTCACCCCTCACTCGTGTCCCCGCCGTGTTCCCTCCGTTCCCCTTACTGCGCTTACGGTCCTTACAATGGGACACGGACCCATGTTCTGGAAAGCTCAGGCCTTGGGGAAGCCACCCTCGGCAGATCTGGTCTTGCTTAAAGGCCTGCAAGCCCGGAACATTGTGTGGTGGTAGTGGGGGGCCTATTCGGAGACAGGGTGTAGCCCAGGCTGGCCTGGCGCTTGTGTGTGTCTGAGGATGACCTCGAGTCTGATCCTCCTGAGCCGGAATGGTAGGTATGGGCTTCCAGCCTGGGTTGGCCGTAGTGGAGATGGAGCCCAGGGCCGGCGCAGGCTGGGTACCCCAGGCTACCAGCCCTTCTTCAACCTGTTTTGTTTGGAGACACGGTCTCCCTGTAGCCCCAGCTAGCTAGAATCCCTGTGTAGACCAGGCTGGCTTTAGTCTCAGAGATCCACCTCTTGTGCCTCCCAAGTGCTGCGATTAACGGCGTGTGCACCTGGCTCTTCTACTTTTAACTGATTAAATTGGGGGAAAATAAAAAGAATGGTAAATAAAAATTATCTCAATTCTATTTTTTTTTTTGACACAGAGTCTCATGCAGCCCAGGCTAGCCTCCCAACTTGCTATGTAGTTGAGGCTGTCCTTGAACTCTTCATCTTGCCTCCCCTTCCTAAGTGCCTGAATTACAGCAGCAGGATGCCCTGCTCTGGAAATAAAATTGTTAGAACATCTGTATTCTCATACTGCCTGTGGCTGCTGTTTTGCTATGACCATTGTCAAGCAGTGGGCAGATCCTGCCAGGCCTGCAAGGCTGGAATGAAGCGACACCTATCGGGCCCTTACTTTGAAAACATTCTCCTGCCCCAGTGTAGGTTAGCCTGGGTTAGGAAGAGGACCGTGAAGGGTTAGGCTGTAATCTGAATTAGAGATTACAGATGTGATCAGAGGTGTGTACATGAGCAAAAAGTCTTCTTTGCTTAAAAAAATTTAAATTGTTATCTATTTATATGTGTATGAGTGTTATGCCTCATGCACGTAAGTGCACTATTTAATGTGTATGAGTGTCATGCCTGCATGTATGTAAGTGTACCCGAGTATGCAGTGCCATGGAGACCAGAAGAGGGCATTGGATCCCCTGGAACTGGAGTTACAGACAGTTGTTAGCCGTCTTGTGGGTGCTGGAAACTGAACCCCAATTCTCAGCAAGAGCAGCCAGTGCTCTCAACTGCCAAGCCCTCTCTCCAGCTCCCTTTTTGATTAACACTTTAAGTACTACAAATAACTGCTGGTATTTCGGATAGATTCATATATATATAATATATAGGTATATATTATGTATTATATATATTATATATTTATATTGTCTTTTTGAAACAGGGTCTCCCTGTAGCCCCCAGCTGTCCTGGAACTCACTATGTAGACCATGCTGGCCTTGAACTCACAGAGATCTGCCTGCCTCTGCCTCCCGAGTGCTGGGATTAAAGGCGTGTGCCACCACGCCTGGCTACTATAAATATTTTAAATTACCTTCTAAGATTAATGGAACAAGAGAAAGCTGTCCTGGGCTGGGTGCTGCAATTACTGGGGTGCTTTATACATGCTCCTCTGCTTGCCTTTCAGATGTTGTGGCCTATGTTGAAGTCTGGTCTTCTACTGGGACAGAAAATTACTCAAAGACATTTACAAAACAACTTGTAGACATGGGGGCAAAGGTAAGCAATCGAGCCAGTGAAGAGGCAGCGCTTTGATATGTAAAAGAGGCCCAAGCACATCTTTTTGTTTTGGAGCCTGAAGTGGGAGATCACAGAGTGCTTATTGGTCTTGGTGGGGAGGCGCCTGGGAGGAGCCATGAATCTGGCCTAGGGATTGGTCGTGGGGGGGCGGGGTGTTTGGAGTCCTAGGGAACAAAAGTGCCTAAGGAGCAGGTTCCTAAGCTGTGAACTTGGGTGTGTCGAGAACACAGACATGCGACTATCCATAGCTTGAGTTGATCAGGGCTGTAGATTGTGATGTGGGGTCAAGATCTCGGGTCAGGCAGGGATACTGTTAGACTCAGGTTCTCTTAGGTTGAAGAGGAGGACTCCTGAGTGCCTAAGGTCCAGTGATGGGGTGACCTCCAACCCAGGAACGGGGGGGGGACAGGGGGGGTGAGGACAGAGGGTGTGGAGGTCAAAGGAGGGAAGAATTTCCAAGATGGAGGTTAGAGCACTGCAGAAAGGTAAGATAACCAGTTTGTTTGAAGTTTGAAACTATGAGGTGATTGTCTCAGTACAGTTTCCCATGATACAGGCAAAGAGGGTCACGATGAGTAAGGATCTTGGCCTAGGAGGAAGTGGACACGGTGATCCTGCACTACTCTGGTAGGGAGACTCACTGTGAATGAAGCGTCTTGCCTGTTCATTGACAGACCGGGTGACAGGGATAAGTTCAAAGGATGTCAAGATAACTTAAGGCAGGTCACCATGAAGATGAGGCAAAGTGACATGATGCAGGAGGCACTTGCTTTCAGGCACAGTGAGCGATCTTAAGTTTTCTTCCCGAGGCCTTATTCAACCTCTGTAGCCCTTGTGCAGTGAGATCACAGGCTGAGGACAGGCAGTGCAGATGCCCCCCCACACACACACACACATCCAGTGGCCTGATGTGTTCATTGAAAACAGGAAATTCTCTGAATTGAAAACGCATTTGCTACACAGCATCTTCGCTTAGCACTCTGCATGTAGAGCTGCGGTTCTCAGGACTCGCATGAGGATTGCTGCTCCTTGTATCATGAGGTGTGGTGTGTGTGTTGCTGGCTGGGAGTTTCTCCTGACTGCCTGTTACTTTCCAGGGGTTTCTCCTGAGTGTGTGTCACTTTCTGGGAGTTTCTCCTGACTGCGTGTCACTTTCCTACTATCTTAAAGTAAAGCAGTGAGTAGAGCCATGATCAAACCGGGGACTCTGGATGGAAGGCCCACCCACTTCTCATGGAGGAGGCACTCCATGTTTTGGCACACTGGCATGTGGGACACCAAGGCGGGTTCCATCTTAGGATCAGTGTGAATTCTGGCTCATTCTGCTACCTAGATGCAGTTCTTGGCAGCTCAGTTCAAGGTGTGAGATTTCATCAGCTCCCTCTGTTCTTTTTTCTTTTTTAAAAAAATATTTTATTTATTATTTTTATGTGTATTCGTGTATTGCCTGCATGTAGGTAAGTGCACCAGTGTGGTACAATGCCCGTGGATGACAGAAGAGGCTGTCGGATGCCCTGGAACTGGAGCCACGGACAGTTGTTAGCTGCCATGTGGGTGCTGGGATTCAAACCCGGGTCCCCTGCAAGAACAACCAGTGTTCTTAACCACTGAGCCATCTCTCCAGCCCCAGCTATCCTTCTTTTCTTACCTTGTACTAAGTACCTAGCACCCCTCCTAAAAGATAAGAGGTACCACTTCCAGTCTGATTCGATGAAAGCCTTGGGGAGAATGGCCGCAGGTGCTGGGCTGGGCTGGGCTCTGCTCTGTTGGGGCGGTCTTGTCCTACCCGTCTCAGTCCAGTCATTCCTGACTGCCTTGAGAGCAGTTTCCAAAAGTAACACCTGTGCATTGAGACCCGAGAGGCCAGCTGTCCTTTACCTTACATCCTTACATCCTTTTTTGTTGGGGAACTGATGCACAGCCTCACGTGTACTAGGAAGCACACCACCACTGAGCTAAGTCATTCCCCCCACCCCTTTTCATTGAGACGGGGTCTTACTCTCTAGCCCTAGCTGATGTGGAACTCACTATATAGACCAGGCTGGCCTTGAACACACAGATCCGCCTGCCTCTGCCTCCCAAATGCTGGGATTAAAGGCGTGCTCCTCCTCGCCCAGCTTCCTTTCTATTTTTGAAAGGCAATGGTTTTCAATTTTTTTAAACATTTATTTTTTGTGAATGTGTATGCATGTGTATGTGTGTAGGTGTGAGCACCCTGGCATGCAGCGGGAGGTCAGAGACCAACTTGCGGACTTGAGGGTCTCTTTATTTCTATCGTGTAAGTCCCAGGGACTGGGCTCAGCTCATCAGGCCTTGACTCACTGAGCTTCTCACCAGCCTTTGGTGGTGTTTGTTTCTCATCCCTTTCATGTTTGCGTTCATACTTTTATTGTACGGTACTTTTCCAAGACCCCCAGTAGATGTCTGAACCTGCATACCCACGACCTAACCCTGTGGGGCAGGACATTATCCCAACTTCTTGGGAGAATTAGGCAGGAGGATCTCCAAGTTTCAAGGCCAGACTGGGTAACTTATCAAAGCTCTGTCTCAAAATTAAAAATAAATACATAAATAAAATGGTGGGGGTTATAACTCAGCAGAACACCTGCCTAGCATGCACGAGGCTGTGCGTTTAGGCCTCAGCACTTCAAAAAAAGCCTATGATGAAGTTCATCTTGAACCACGTAATGGATTAATAGCGACAACTAAGAAGAGTGACCGTACTGGTCCATGATAAAAGCTGTGTGGACATGGGCTGTCTCTCCCCCTCCTTACACCTGTTTACCTTCCATGCTGTGCAAGGATGTGAGCCAACAAGATGAACAGTGCCCTTGGCCTGGCCTGTACACTGAGCGTTAGCTGCCTCCAGCCTCCTGACTCTGTGGCAGTGGTCTCTGAATCTGTGCAACAGCAGCCAAGGGTGGTCAATCGCACATGCTGATTCCGTGACCTTTCAGAGGGAAAATATGTGGATGATTGTGCTTCTGGAAGGTGTTCATAAAAGGCCTCCTTGTCTGTACATGGTCTGTGCGTGTGGAGGCCAGAAGTCACCCCTGAGGGCCACCCTTCCTGTGTTTTGAGCCGGTCTCTCACTGGGGCTTGGGGCTCACCAGTCAGGCCAGGGAGCAGGCAAGTGAGCCCCATCTGTTTTTCCTTGAAGAAATTTCTTCATTGCTTTTTATTTTGACACAGTCTCACTGTGTAGCCCAGGCTGGCCTCAACCTCATAGTGATTCTCTTCCCTCAGCCTTGAGTGGTAGGATGACAGGCCTGTGCTAACATGCACAGCTTCCCCACCGTTTCTGACTTTGGATCGTTGTGGACATCACTTTGATGTAGTTGTTACTTCTCATTGCTTGGCGTGGTCTCTCCTCCCCCTTCATGCCTCTTTCAGGGTTCAGTATCCAGCTATCCTGCCACCACGATGTGTGATTGGTGTGGTGCTTGCTCTGCACACTTGTGCTGGGCCTCGGGGGTTCTTTTGATCCAGGATGTGTGTCCTTGAGCTTACTTCTCCGTGTTTATCATTATTTTATAATTTCTATTTCATCTCTCTGTTTTTTTAATTCTTCTGAGTTATTATTTTATGTGTATGAGTGTGTTGCCTGCATGTGTCTAAGTGTGTCTGTGTCATGCAGTGTCTGCAGAGGTCAAAAGAGGATGCTGGATCCCCTGGAGCTGGAGTTACGGACGGTTGTTAGTCACCATGTGGGTGCTGGGAATTGAACCGGGATCCTCTGCAGGAGCAGCTGGTGCTCTTACTGACTGAGCCAGCTGTCAGCCGCTCTCCTTTTGTGTCTGCTTTAGTGCTCTGCCTTGGCTGCAGGGTCCTGGTCTGTCCCTTGTTCCTGCTTTTCCTGGCCCCATCTTCTGTGTGCTCTGCTACCCGTGAGATTTCCCTCCGCTTCTTCTTTTTTTTTTTTTGGCTTTTTGAGATAGGGTCTCCCTGTAGCCCCAGCTGTCCTGGAACTCACTATGTAGCCCAGGCTGGCCTCGAACTCACAGAGATCCACCTGCCTCTGCCTCCCGAGTGCTGGGACTAAAGGCGTGTGCCACCACGCCCGGCCATTGTCCAGTATTTCTGTGGAATGTTTTGTTGTTGTGGCTTATGTCATTCTTTAGTTTGTAGTAACTCTTTAGTGTTTGATCCCTTTGAAATATCACATGAGTATATCACATGAAATATCACATGAGTAGCCTCCATCCAACTGAGCACTAGGGTTTACAGTTGTGCGCTGCTGTGCCTGGTTCATGGGATGCTGGGGCTCAAACTCTATGTGCATGCTAGGCAAAGACTCTACCACCTGAGCCACATCCCAGCCCAAGATGGAGAACTTTTTACATTTTTGTGTGTGTGTGTGTGTGTGTTCATGGGGGGCTCACGTGTGGAGGTCAGAGGGTGGAGCACTCTTTGAAGTGGCCTTAGTGTGCCCCTCCCTGTCCTTCCAGCTGTAAGCAGGTGGCTCCTCCTGTCCATTTTTCTTTTCCTGTCCCTTGTCCCTGAGGGCCTGCTCCCAGTCACACCTTTTCTGCTCCTCTATCTTCATGCGGCCGTCTCCTGGTCCCTGCTCGCCTGTTCCTTTATCCTCGAAGGACTCCAACTCTGTTCTGTGTTTGGAAGTTTTATTGAGAAGAGTAGAGGTGACGAGCATGACACCCCATTCTGACTGGAGCAGCTGTGTTTTTTAAGCGCCATTCCACAGTTACTACAGTATTTTTCTGATGCATTCTGAGAAATGGAATGCTGGGGTAGGAGTTTTGACATTTTATTTGAAAAGTTTTGAATAAGTATCCTTTTTGGTCACTTGTACTTAAGGCATTATGAGTAGATTCTGAGCAGATTAACACTGTGCATCTGGTTTTCTGTGTTTTGTCCACAGGTCTCAAAGACGTTCAACAAGCACGTGACCCACGTGGTTTTCAAAGATGGATACCAGAGCACCTGGGACAAAGCCCAGAAGACAGGGGCAAAGCTGGTTTCTGTGCTCTGGGTTGAAAAGTAAGTACTTGTCTTATTTTTTTCCCTGAGTTTTCTAGTATTTGTAAAAGTCTAGTATTGATACTTTGCCTGAGTCATAGGATCAGATAATGTTTGATTTTCGTTTTTTTCTCCACCTTCTATGAGTCAAGCGATTTAACATCATCAAGCTTTAGTTTCTGCAGCTGTGAAAAATAGATGACATTCCAGTTCTGTCCAGAGGGAAGGGGAGCGTGAAGGCCTTAAGGCCTGGCGTGACTTGTGCAGGAGATGTAAAGACTGCGCAGTGCTGTCATTTCTCTTGCTCTTTAACAGAGCGTCGTGGACTTGGGCTGCAGGAGCTTATGTTCTCACAGTTCTGGAAGCTCCGTCTCGGGTGTCCACTGGTTGTGTCTTCTGAGACCTCCCTCCGTGGCCTGTTTATGACCATCTTCTTCAGGTGCTTTCATCCGGCATTCCCTCCGTGTGCGTGTGTGTGTCTGTGTCTGCATTTCCTCCTCTTTAAAGGATGTCAGTCATGTTGGGTTAGGCCCTCAGCAGCCACTTTCTTACCTCAGTTATGTCTTGTCTCAAGCACAGTTATTCTGAGCTCCTGGTCTTTAGGATATGCAGGTTTGTGAATTTTGAGGATACAATCAGCCATCAAAGGGAAGTTTCCAAAGGAAGTTTAGATGGAAATCAAGGTCAAGAATTCAGGGTGCAGAATACACAGACTCTTGTAGGATGAAGTGTGCGCATCCTGCTTGGAGACTTAGGTAAGGACAGAAATGGGCAGTACCCAGAGGCTATTGGGTGTACAGACTAGACCAGGATATGGTAGTGAAAATTAGTTAGGAATTTTTTTTTTCCCAGCCATTTGAGACAGGTTCTCCCTGTAGCCCCAGCTGTGCTGGAACTTGCAATGTAGACCAGGCTGGCCTCGAACTCACAGAGATCTGCCTGCCTCTGCCTCCCAAGTGCTGGCCTAAAGGCATGCGCCAACTGCCCAGCCCAGAATTTTTTTTAAGTTTCATTATTTTTATTTTATGTGTATGAGTGTGTTACCTGCATGTATGTAAGTGCACACATGTCATGCAATGCCCCTCAGAGGCCAGAAGAAGGTGTTAGATCCCCTGGAATTGGAGTCACTGAATGTTGTTAGCTGCCTTGTGGGTGCTCGGCATCAAATCTGTGTCCTTTGCAAGAGTAGCCAGTGCTCTTAACTGCTAAACTATCTCTCCAGCCCCCAGTTCAGGATTTTAAAAAAATGTATATGGATGTGTGTGTATGTTTCTGTTTATGTGTCTGTCTCTGCACATATGTGCAGGTGCCTGAGGAAGCCAGAAGAGAGTGTTAGGTCCCTTAGACCTGGAGTTACAGATGGTTGTACACCACCGATGTGGGTGCTGGGAACTGAATTCCAGTACTGTGTAAGAAGAGCAAGCTCTGAGCAGTCTTCAGCCCCTCAGGATGTGTTTTGAACATGATGCCTAACTAGAGTTCCAAGGGGTCCAAGTATGCATTTGTGGAGAAAGAAAGAAATCAAGCACCTCTGAGCGCTTTTTATTTAGCCCATGGAACCAGAAAGATGGTTTTGCGATTGGCTGAGACTGGGAAGGTTTCAGAGGATTGGGATGGGGCTGTGGTGCAGAGTCAGGAGTTCTGTTGAGATATACCAAATTGAATTAGGTGTTTTTTAGACATTGCTGTGGAGGTACCAGATAGGCAGGAGAGTGAAAGAGTTCAGGGAGCTGTTGTAAGTAAAAATGTGAGAGCTGGCCATGCACAAGTGTTAAAGCAGACACTGGATGTAAGCTAGGAGGAGAGGAAAGAGGGACGGAGGAAAGGAAGGAAGATGATAAAATTGAGTGTCCTGGACTCTGTTTTTCTGAAAACACAGTTGATCTCCCTACACACTCTCACTACACTTCTGACCTCAGATATGGGGGGCGGTTCTTTTCCTCACCAAGCAATTCTCTAGGTCCCTAAGCACCACTGGTTGTCCAACAGTTCAGTCATGACACTGAACCTGAAGACTCTAAGGAATCGAGGTCAGGTGCCCGCATCACATACACACACAACAGGTATCCGTAAGTAGACTAGTCAGTCTAGAAGGAAGGTTCTTGGCAGATATAGACAAGCACTCATGGGTAATCATGGAGGTACTGGGCTTGGAAAACAAACTTCTAAGAATCAGTCAAGACTGACTTAGGCAAGAATTATCCGTGAATGCTAAACCTGGAGGGTAGGAAGAGATTACACCCAAGTCTATCTTAATAAACCAATGAGTTTATTGTGGTTACTTTACAGGAGCATGCACGACTCAAAGATAGCCACATCACTGGTGAGGCCACACCAGGGTGGGTGACAAATCATGGAAGTTGCATCCCCAGAGCTCCCTGTACAACTTGTAGGCTGATCCACCAAAGAGTCCCATCTCTTCATCAGTTGTACCACTTTATAGCTTTGAAAGGGTCTTGTGAATCTTGTAGCTCTCTGAGCTTAGAAAGTTTCCTTAGCTTCCCGAGTTCTCCCCTCCCTCAGTTAGTAGGAAGTAGCTACATAACAGTAGGAATAGTATCAGAGACTGAGATCTGGACACTCAGAGCTCAGTGGACCTGGATGTCACTGTTCTTGATTGAGCAGGGGAAGATGAGCCTTAGGCAAGCTTTTAGGCTGTGGGCAGACTCCAGCCAGACTCTTTGCTAAAATATCCCAATTGCTGTTTAAGTCCTTATTTTCCTCTGGAACTACATTGTTCTCAGCACTACTTTCCCAGGCTCCTACTAGAATGGCTCGTTAAGCTCTACTTAAAATAATCAACCACTTTTCTGACCCAAACTTCCAAAGTTTTTCACATTTCTCCCCAAACCCACATGGTCAAGTTCTTCCACTGGTACCAACTTCTATATTAGTTACTTTTCTGATGCTGTGATAAAACACCGTGACCAAGGGAATTTATAAAACAGAGAGTTTATTTGCTCTTATGGTTCCAGAGGAATCAAGAGTTCATTGTGGCGGGGAGGCATGGTGGCAGAGGTGGCTGGAGCAGAAAGCCGGGTGATCACATCTTCAGGAAGGCACAGGGAGTAGAGAGTAACTGGAAATCTGGAATGGGCACACCTGCTGGTTAGAGGGGGAGCCCTGCTTTTCTCAGACCAAGAAGATGATGACAGAAGTATGCCGTCCTTACTACTCATCAGTGGCCCTTTATCTCCTGGTCTAAAAACACGGCTAGCTCATAGTCCCTCACAAGTATTTACATTATGCATTCATGCTTATGTTCATATGTTCCTACATTTTATTTTCTTTTGTAACATTTTTACATTCATTTTATTTGTGTGTGTGTGTGTGTGTGTGTGTGTGTGTGTGTGTGTGTGTGAGAGAGAGAGAGAGAGAGAGAATGCAACGGATAACTTTTGGGAGTTGGTTCTCTCCTTTGCCGTGTGGGTATTGGGGATTGAACTCAAGCTGAACTCAGGACTTCAGGCTTGACAGCATGTGCGTTTAGTTGTTGAGACACCTACCGGCCCTAGACTTTCCTTTAAAGATTTTTGTTTGTTTTCTTTGCTTATTGCTCCAGCAAGAGTTCAAGCACTATTTTGTTTTTATTTATTTATTTTTATTTATTTATTTTTTGGTCTTTTTGAGACAGGGTTTCCCTGTAGCCCCAGCTGTCCTGGAACTCACTATGTAGACCAGGCTGGCCTTGAACTCACAGAGATCCGCCTGCCTCTGCCTCCCAAGTGCTGGGACTAAAGGTGTGCGCCACCACGCCTGCCTATTAATCTTATTTTATGTGTATGTGTGTGCTGCCTGCATGTAGGTAAGTGCGCCTGTGTCATGCAATGCCCAAGGAGGTCAGAAGAGGGCGTCAGATCCCCTAGAACTGGAGTCACAGACAGTTGTTAGCTGCCATGTGGGTGCTGGGATTCGAACCACTGTCTTCTGCAAGAACACCAGTGTTCTTAACCACTGAACCATCTCTCCAGCCCCTTGAGCACTATGTTGAAAAGGAGTGGAGATAATGGACAGCCTTGTCTGGTTCCTGATTTTAATGGGAATGTTACCTCCAGTCCAGTTCCCTCTAGGACTTCTATCATAAATTCATGCTGGATTTTGTCAAGGGCCTTTTCTGGATCTATTGAGATGACCATGTGATTTTTGTCTTTGGGCCCATTTATATGATTTACTACATTTATTGACTAACGTTTAGTGAACCATTCCTGCATCTCTGGAAGAAAGCCAACTTGACCATGGCAGATGATCTTTTTGATCTGTGTTTGTTGGTGATTTGAGAGTAATTTGTTGAGAAGTTTTCCATCTGTGTTCATTAGGAATATGGGCCTATAGTTTTATTTTTTTTGTCGTGTTTTTACCTGGTTTTGGTATTAGAGTGATGCTGGCTTTATAGAGTTTTCAAGTTCTGTGTTTTGAATACATTAAGCAGTATTGGTTGTAGATCTCTGAAAGCCTGGTAAAATTCTGCTGTGGTTCCATCTGGGCCTGGGTTTTTTTTTTTTTAGTTTGGAGACTTTGTATTACTGTTTTGATTTCCTTATTTGTTATGAGTCTGTTTAAACTGTTGACTTCTTTTTGGTTTAACTTCGGTGGATCCATTGAATTTAGAAATCCATCCATTTCTTTAGGATTGCTTAATTTTAACGGAATGTAGGTTTTTAAAGTATTCCTTTATAATGTTCTAGATCTCTTTGGTGTCCGTTATGTTTCACCTTTTGTATTTGATTTTGTTGATTTGGATTTGCTCTTTCTTTTGGTTATCTGGGCTGAGGTTCTGTCTATCTTGTTTATCTTTTCAAAGAACCAGGTCTTTGATTTTGGTTCTTTGTATTTTGTTCTTTGTTTCTATTTCATTGATTTCTACTCTGATTTTTATTATTTCTTCTTGTGTGTTGGGTTTCACTTTGGTTTGTTCTTGCTTTTCCAAATTCTTGAGTTGTACCATTAAGTACCATTTATTTGTACTCTTTCTGATTTAAAAAAATTATTATTTTTATTGTATGTGTATGAGTGTTTTGCCT